AGCAAACTGAGCAACGAGCCTGTTGATTCAGGCTCATTGGAGCAGGGATTCGTCCAAATGTTGCAGGACGGAGGCCTGTGGTCAAGTAAAATTGACAATTTTCTTCCCACCAACTTTTGTCAAGGCCTCCTCATGTGGGCACTGGAATAAATGAATGAATGCCCAACTCTAATAACTCTGTAGGTTGTGCTTTTCAAATCCTAAAGACTCCGTATTCCTCAAAATGTTTATGGGTGTATATTGCTTTAAGTGGCAGTTCTTTCAGGAATGGCCTCCTGGGTAAGTGCCTCTTTCAGCTCACCCCAGACCTTCACATAATCTGTTCAAATTTCTGTTGGGCATAGCAATGGGTTGTCCTTAAACACTCCAGCGAAACGAAACGAAAAGGAACTCGGGCCTTGCAAAGTGTGATTGGCAAAGATCTGATCTGTCTGGTCACATGCCTTCTTCAACAGCCCAGAACAAAAAACACCACTAACTACAATTGTTTTAATTGGGAGGGAAAAAAGCTTGTTAAATTTGACCAAGCATATGAGAACAAATTATTCAACTGGCTTAAAGATGGTAACTCATTTTTTTTTTTATTAGTTCTTTACCGCCAACTTGTATGTCTCAAGATGACTATTGGCTATTAAGTCAGAGTAACATAGGGTTTGGAAAGAAAGTAATCCCTGTCAGAAGCTAATGGTGCAATCACTGTCACCACCAGCATTTTTCTAATAGATGGATAGATTTTATGGTTTTTACTTACCAATTAAGGCTGATCTCATGTCCTAATTATACCGCTGCCGCTCCTTTTACTGCTGTGCCTTTCCCCACTCCATGACTGAGAAGTCCTTTATGATTTATAGTAATTAAAAATGGTAAAAATGTAGACATTAATACAGTGGTTGTTACTGTCACTGATAAAATAACATAACACTATGCCAACCTAGATTTTTTTCTTTTTTGACGAGTCCGTTATCTTGCATTGATTGCATGCGGATCCGTTTAGAAACCTTAAACTAGTTTTTGTCGTCTAATCTTCTGACGTTTTTTTTGTCGTTCAGCTGTATCACTTTCTCAACAGCGACACCTTGTGTGAACGAGAGCGTACTGCAAACTGTCCACCAGGATGAAATTACAACTGCTTTCTGCCAATTAACGCCCTTGCTTTTGTTAGATAAAACCACTTTAGTGTCTTTAAAGACATATTTTAAACTTTTTTTTTTTTTGTAAATTACAATTTTATCACCATTGGAAACAAGTTGTCAGATAAAAACAAAATCTGCATGCACCCCTAAAAACCTTGTAAGTGCACAAACCATGTTCCCAGGGCTAAGGGTGAAACAAATCCACCTTCAGTCTTTCTTTTGCCCTTTTGGCTGCCACCGAAAGCAGCAGGTTACCTGCAGAGGAGACCAACTTGTCGCATACCAGTCGCTGCTCTAAAGTCTGTGCGTCTGTGTCCCTGCGGCTTGCTTCCTGACACCACTCGGTGCCTAACAAGATTTATCCAACATGGCACCGCCTCAGAGACAGGTGGTCAGCCAGAAAAGGAAATCTTTTCCACTTGGTAACAAACAAAATTGTGATGTATCTGCCCGATCGCTCGCTGAAGACCAGCGTGCGGAGATCAAGGTTTTTGTTTTCCCCGCAGTCATGTCCTTTGGTCGCTGGAAATGAATGTCTGCTGTTGGTATACTGGCAGCTTTATTCTTTCTGATGTCCCCTTTAATCCTTCTTCTTCTTCCCCCCCAACCCCCGTCCATTTATTGCTCGCTCCTATCATTCATTTTGCTGCGAATCTGTCGCCGTGTTCGTTTAATATCTTTCATCTTCGCTGCCCTTTCCTTTGTCTTTGTGGTGCTGCTTGTGTTTATATTACTGAGTGCCACTTCTGTTGAATTGTCCCAGAGTTTGTTGTATTAAAGGCAAAAAAGAAAAAGAAAACATCCATATCCTAGAAAAGGTGACGCAGTGACACTTTTCTCTGGCACAAACCATACCGTCAGGGAAGACTTTGAAGCTATAAATGTCTACTCTGATTCTCTTCACATCTGCTTGCTTTTAATTGGCTTGGCTGTGCCCGTTAGGATGCGTACATCTGTGTGCATAAGTAAAAAAAAAAAAAAAAATGGAAAAGTTATTTTTGTTCCGATCTATAAATAAAGCGAGGAGATTTAAGCAAGCCTGTCTAAGTGAATTTGGCCCTCAGAGGAGATTTAGGTGCGGGTATATTTGTGTGCGTGTTAATTTTGCCCCCCTTTTTGAAGGATTGTTTCCGAGTGGAGCCGAAGACGGTTCCCGTGTTTGTCTTTTTTTTAAAACCTGCGTGCGCTTTAAAGGGATGCATCCGTCAACTGTCGGGCCTTTGATTTCAGCCCGGGAATTAAAGCGACTTGAGTAATGTTTTCCCTTATAATAAAAAAATTGTCATGTCCATCAGTGATGTACTGTCTCCTCTCCTCCTTTAAATTATGCAAAGCCTTACCTCCTTGCTCATTTTGTTTGCATTTCTCCAAGACACAATCTGCTCCCGGTCTGTGCAGTTGTCAAATTCTGCTTCCCAAATTGATATGTATATCTGGCTTTTTTTCCCCGAGTGCCGTTCTCACTCTGATGGGTTTTAGTACAATTCAGTTTTTTGCCTTTTTTTATATTTTGTTTTGTTTGTCAAAGTTTGCTTCTGAGATTCCATGCATTTTAAGCTTCCTGTTTATACTTTTCATGAATAGAAACATTGCTTTTGCATAAGCTTTTCTACTGATGTTTGTTTTTCATTGACTTTCCTGCTCACCGACATGTGCGGATACGCCGAAACATCGGCGGCGTGTCTCTGGGAATAAAGCCCCGCATCACTCCGATACACGGAAAGTAAATAATCAGATCCATCAAACTCCATTCAGAACAACTGAATGTGACAAAAAGATAAATATGAATGCTTTTCTAATGCAGATTAGTGACTGAACGAGGTAATCGGGTTCCTCTTTGTTTGGGTGACAGATTATTTATTGGATATGACAGATGAATAAAAAGATTTGTAATCAAAGTGGCCACCCAATTTGGCAAATCGTCAAGCTGTTGCTCATCCATATTCGACTCCACAGAGCAGGAGCGTGTCGTGTTTGGAGAAGACCGCTGCAGAGTTTCTGCAGGGTCCAAAAAGTCGTAAATGGATCCGACTTTTAGGCCATCATAAATCCATATTTTAAAACTGCAAACTTCATGGTTGATTTTTGCACTATGAAACTGACAATATGCAACTGGGAAGGACTTTATATGAAAACATTTAGTCCTTTAAAAGAAAATCCAAAATTGATCAAATTTTAAAGTTGTTTTTAAAGGTAGATAAATGCCGGTTTAGCAAAAAATAAATAAATCACTGAAAGCTCTGCCTCATTTAGTCAGAGAGGCTCAATGGCTAATCTGTAGTTTCAGACAGCAAATAGAATACAAACTTAATACAATTTAATTGTGTTCAATTAAGGCTTTAATGAATTGCATTACAGTTGGTAACTGTAACAATAATTGGATTAATGTAATGAATCCACTTGTATTTAATTTAAACTTGACTTGGAGTTGCTTACTTTTCCTGCAAAATGCCCCGAGGTTACTTATTAATTGGTACGATATAAATAAAATTGATTAATTATCATTATGAAAACAGGAGCTGAAAACCTAAATGGAAAAACTTTAATCGGTGTCTGATTATACAACAAAAGCCCTGACTAAATTATCTAAAGTATATTATACTTCTGTGCTGATGGCAGCATGATCTGTTCAAATTTAGTCACTGTTGGTTATTTATTGATAACCATCACATTTTCTTTAGGTTATTCTGTTTTGGACCATTAATAATGTATTTTTATTATTATGTGCAAGCCAACAAATAAGACTCTTATTCTTCTTTACAGTTATTTCCAAAATGGCTCGTCAGGCAGTGTCGGTTTAACACTATTTTGCGTTAAGATATGTTTTGGAGGGGAAATGATGTTCAATTTCTTGGCCAATGTTTCTTGAAAGTCTTCACGGACTTGGGAATTGACTTCTCAAAATTATGCAAATTTCAAACATACCCTGGAAGCGAACGCTGCTGTAGTTCAGAAATATTTTTGAGTGTGGGAAGTCGGAAAGCTTTCGAATGAGCCCTCTCAGGTGAGCTTGGTGCTCCAAGTTTCCGACTGAGTGCACGGAAACGACTGCGTGTGTTCCCCGTCGCTGCATGAATATGGAAGAATGATTTCCATACGAAACATGTCTAAGACAGGCAACTAATAATCGTGCTTTCAAATCAATAATTATGCTCTTGACAAAAACGACTGGCAACGAGCTTTTGAATCTTTTGAACGTTGTTGCCAGTGGACATGAATATTTGTGTTCTTGCCTCAATCTTTTAAATTTCTATTTTGGGTTTATTTTGTAGTTGGCATCTGTCATGTAAATAGATTATATGGAAACACGTATAAGCTAGTTTTCTTCACTGTCTGACATTAATCGGACTGTGACGAGGTTCTTTTTTGACTTGGACAAACAAAAATGACTGGCCGAGGCCAGAGATCGCTTTAGTGGAAAGAACAGAATGAACAAACGAGCAAAAACGACTAAATGATTACTTCTAACTCAAGTAAACTCTAAATACCAAGGGGGCAGGGGGGAAAATATAAACAAACTTGTGATAAAAAATATAAAACCCAATACGTTCTGATGACGTCACTACGTTGTCATGTGACCCACCCGGCCCCATTCCCGGCGCCACAATCCAGAAACGGCTCTGCTTGAAAATGGAAACGGGAAGTGGTCAAATCTGAAATGTAACAATATGCTTTACTTATTTTACAATTTAAATGTATAGTATGTTGTTCTTCAGCGATAAAACTGCAGTACTCTTAAAGTAGCATTTGCAGTCAGTTGAAAGTTTTTTTTCCTTGTTTCTTTTTGTTTTTTGCGTGATTTTTCATAAGACTGTCTGTGGCCCCAAAAAATTGTCAAAGGGGTTTTTAAATACTTACCACTTATGCCTCTATCTCATTGTATCTTTTTTGTTTTTTGCTTCGCCTCTACATCTATGTCTATATATTTCAGTTGAGGCTGAAAGTATTGATTTTGACGTTGGCACTCCTTTCTCGGTGAACACTCTCCAAGTTCATGGCGGTGATGAATCGGCTTCAGGGCAGAAAATGACTCGAGTGTTCCAACGGCTTTCAGTTTGGGACACATTAGTCTCGGTGCTCACTTACTACGTTGTTTCTGAACCTCACGGCAAATTTCCTTGTGGACTGAGCAAACATTCAGCGAGAGTTAATAGTTTGAGTAAGGAAGCCATGAGATGGAGCTGCAACTTGCCAATAAGCATTTGACCAAATATTGGAAGCATTTATGCATGTATATATCTGAGGCATTTGGTTGCATAAATGCAATTTTTCAAAAATTTTTTAAGACTCATATAATCTATATGTGTCATTTTCCTTCCTCTTTAATCTTTCATCCTTCTGCCTGGCGATCAGATGTCACCGTGTATCCGCTGCTAAAGACTTGCTTTCTGCGAGGTGACGGCTTCTCCGACGTGGTCCAGGACTAATTAAGAAAATGACCTGGAATCTGTTAAATTAAGTTTCTCACAGCTTGTCCCCATGACTGTTTAAATGGCCTTTTAACTCTTTATTCACGTAGACTTTTCTTTCACTACATCAAATTCATTCATTTCTATAAGATTTTTCTTTTTACTCAGTGTGACGGTTCTTTGGTTAGCAAAACTCCACTCAAACATCTGTAAAAGCCAGACTTCATTTCTTAATCTCTGATTGAAGCATGATGGTCGACAGATGTTGCAAACTCTCGTCCACTAATTCACACACACACACACACACGCACATCCTATACCCTCTACTTTATAGTCCACAGTAACGCCGTACATTTCTTTTTACTCATTTATTCAATGCTTTCATGATGCTTCATGTTGGTTTAAGTGTGATGATTAATCTATGAAAGCATCATTTTAATAATGAACAGGACCCACATTTGCAATGTTTTTTTTTTTTTTTGGTAATATAATTTGGATTAGGACGATCTGTAAAACTCCACTTGATGCGTTTAAAGTTTAATTTAAAATTAGTTCAAAACGCATTAAGAGTCTCTTTGGCATTCAGTCCCCAAATCCCCAATGGCTGCAAATCACTGCTGTAGAAAGCAGATGAAGTCAGTGATGTATTTATTTGTTTTTGTCCCACAGTAGGTCAAACAGGCTGCAGTAAATTCATTTTTAGTTGGCCTTTATGTAGAAAAAAAATTTCTAGTGGTCTGCAGTACTTCAGTTTGAGATTTTTTATTTATTTATTTTTATTTTCGTGGACCCTTGAGCTTGGAGTATTTTCAGGCGTTATGTAACGGTCAGTGCCTAATTATGTAAAAGTTGAATTCTTACCGGGATCTCTTCGAAATCAGCAAGTCTAATCTGTTAAATAGAAACCTTACACTGTGCTTTTCTTTTATTTCTGCAGAGGAAGATTCCTAGTTGGGAGCCAAAGAGTCACAATCTCATGACATCACATTGACTTGTTTACACTTTCCTACACTCGCTGCAAAAGGAACTCTGCTGTGCTTCTAGCGACTTTAATTTGCTGCAGCTTCGTATTCTCTCCCTGTGCTTTAAGAGCTTTCTGATGTGTGTGGCATGATGTAATTAAATGAAAGTTTGTATGCATTTCACTTGCAAGACAAAAATGGGGGGAAAGCAAATTGTTTTAATTTTCGGTGCGAGTCGTGAGCAATTTGGTAAATGAACTCAAAAGTTATGCTTCTATTTCCTTTAATTTTCCTCTGAGTGGGGCTGATTGTTGGCATTATTCTGATCTACGCATCTTCAGTAACCTGGTTCACACTGAGGACAAACAGGCATGTGAATCCAGTCAAAAAAAAAAAAAAAAAAAAAAAACACGAGCTTCTGCGTGTGTGGCTTTAGAGGTCATTCAGCTTTAATCAGACACGGGACCGGAGTTCAGGCCTTGAAAGCAGATATCCAGGAACACACCCGTGCACAGACATGCATCGCTTTACTCCCTCAGACACCCACAGACATCTTCCAGGACCCGCCAGATGCCGGGGCCTCGGCTAATTGAAGTGAGCTCATTGATTGGCTGGTCATCTGAGACAGAAAGCGCTTAGAAATCTAAGCCAGTGGCCACAGGGAGATGATAAAGTCTGAGTGTCTGGTACAGAGTCACGTTTGGGACTTTGCGGCCACTGACAGCAGGCTGGGCGTGCGTGTTTTTTATTAGTTTACATTGTCTTGTGAACATATTTATTACCCTTTGACTTTTTCCACATTTTGGCACTCCGTAGCCACGAACCTGGTTGCATTTTATTTTCAGGTTTATGTGGTGCACCAGCGCAAAGCGGTGCATGCTTTCGGAGGGGAAGGAAAACGATGCATGTTTCTCAGACTCATTAAAATAAATAAATAAAAATAATGTAACCACCCTTTTATTCTGATATTCATAATCGGCATCCATTATAAGCAACTACCCTGGGAAGTCAGCAAGTAAGATCTGTATGTAATGGAGAAGTTTCTTATATTAAAGGGCACAACAACCAAAACATTGCAAAATTAAAACCATTGTCCCCATAGGGAGGCATGGCAGTGGCTGCATAGTGCTCTGAGAATGGGAAGGTAAATTATGTAGAGTTGATTACAGTATAGAGCTAAAAAAAAAAAGGTAATTATGATAGAAAACCTGTTTAACTGTAAAGGATATTACAATGGGTTAATTTTGGTTAAAAGAAATTCATCTAATTTGAAAGGCCCAGTCAAAGTCCACGTCTAAATCCAGTTCATTTGTGGCAAAATTGAAAAACTGATGCTCACAGATGCCATCCATTCAGACAATTTTTGCAAGTTTGATAAACTTCTATCATTCTTCCTCCACTTCAAATATTTTCCCCTTTGTGTTCGTCTGACACATAAAACGCTTAAAAAATACGTCAATATTTGTGGTTCTAATTGGTATGAAAATGTGGAAAGTAGTATGAACACTTTTTACGAGGAAATGTACAGTAGCTGGCTATAAGTACCTCCGCAAAAACCTGCTTCAGATCTGATGAGCACCTCCGCCGCCCCGAGAAATGATGTGAACGCGAGCGCAAGAACGATGTCACGTTCTCATTGTGCGATCTTAATTCCCCCGACTGCATCCGATGAGGCGTATTCCCATTTGCATTCCGCCTTAGAACAAGGCTTTAAAGTACTTTTCAAGCCCAATTTAGAAGCAAACTTTTCAAATTAAGGCTACTTTATGGTAATGAGGTGGGAGCAGTGTGAATTGTAAGTCCATCTGGTGGAAATGTGAGTGAGAAAATGGATCAGAGGCGCTCGCTGCCCTCTTAACTGCTTCAAAGCAGGCGCACATCCAGTCTGAACCCCGCATTGTCCGACGGGGGGTAATGACTGCGTGCAAGACTCGCCTGTGAATTTTCCGAGCGCGCTGCTGAATTTCTTTGAAACGGTGAAGTTGCAGCCACTCGAAACGTGAGGGGCGAAGTTGATTGTGTGACTTGCTCAAGGGTTGGAATCTAAGGTAATCATACTGTCCTCTTTTTCCAATGTATTATCTTTTAGAGTATCCTTTTTTTTTATTCCAGTGGGGGAGCGAAATTTAGCCTGTTGCCCAAGGGATTTAATCACAATGGAATGCATGTCAAGTCTTGTGGGAAACCATCAGAAGTAGGTCCACGCTCCATTTTGAAATCTTTTTTTTTGTGCTACTTGTACCCTTGTCACATTTGCTTGCAACAAACTCCATTGAGTTGCTAATGGAGTCTTGTAGCATTTCTGTTGTTCTGTAGTGGAACAAACAAGCCCAGATTTTTTCCACCCAGTCTTCCTCCGTCTCCTCTTGGAGTGAATCAGTGCATGTTGCTGTTTTGCTTTTTGTGTGTGTGTGTGTGTGTGAGAGGAAGGCTTGATTTAAAAGCTGCTGCGGGGGACTTCCTCCTTTCCTGATTGCCGATGCCACGAAAACATTCATGGTAGCGCACACAAACACATCTGCGCTCCCTTTCGACGCACGAGCTCCGCAACAGAAAAAAGAGCATCTCTGTCCAAGTGTGCGGAAATGTGTGTGTGTCTTTTCTGTGTGGGTGGCTAGCTGCGCTACTGGGGGGGGGGGAAAGAAAAAAAAAAAAGGAAAGGGATGTGGAGTGAATGAATTGTGGTGCTGGGGGTGTGATGAGAGTCATCTCTCTGTAGATTAGAAAGGATTGTTTTTCCAATAAAAAAGGAACATTCTCTGCTTTCACTCGTTCTCACCGAGTCGGGAACAGACTTTTAGGGATCAGCTGCTGCAGAGCAGCTACACTGGAAGATTGTTTGAGGCTGTGACATGTAATTTGACTGTTTGCTGATATTTAAATTTAGTTTTTTAAAAACATCCTGTCAGTTCTCAAATCTGGTCGCAGGCATTCAGGGTGGGCAGTGTCTATATTTTGATGCCATTTAGTCGTCCTGGAATGATATGGTAGTATATACTGGAGTACCATCTACGTCATCCACCAATCTTCTTTCCGGGAAGGGAAAAAAATGGTTATAGTGACAGAGTTCCTGCACTGGAAATGCATTACAAAGACTGCATTTTAGTTTCTAAACAGTAGGACTTCTTACAAATGGTGTGATGAGAGATGCACTTCAGCAGCATGATGAAAATGAAATGAAACGTCAATAATATTTTTTTGTTTTTCAGAAATGGAGCCAGTGATTTCTAAAGAATTTATAAATGACAAGGATCGGCTATCAGTGTTGAATATTTCAATCCAATTTGACTTGTTCGCATATTAATATTAATGATGGTTTAACTGTTTGGTAGTGTGAATTTCAAAAAGCTTTGCAAAATGTTCTTTTTGTTTCTTTTTTAAAACTCTTACATTTTCATGAAAACATGGTATTAAATATAATTTGTTCACAACAGAATTGTCTACTCCTTTTATTTCAAGGTTTATTGATGTGTTGTAGTTTGAACTCAAGATGGTCAAAGGCAGTTCAGATAAAGTTTAAAACTGTGAAACAGTCCTTTAGATTACCACAAGTTAGGCCTAGCTTTGCTAGCTGCTAATTGTTAGCAGCTGGCTAACAACTAGCTAGCTAATAAGGGGCAGTATCCCAGCCATGCTTACAATCATTTGTACATTTTTTTCAAAATTAAAAAAAAAATAAAATAAAATTAAGCAATATCTAAAATGCTAAAGAATAATGGAAAAAGTTTTAAAGTAGGTGGAAGTTTTTTCACTTATAATGTTTAATGTTACCAGTCACTAAGACCGGACATCTTTATCGCCCAATAGAGCAAATTCAAGAGCTGCTTGCTCTTTCACATCATAAAAAGAGTCTCAGACAGAGGTTGTCGGCTTTGAAACTTATCTTTTAATGTTTTAATAGAAACCTTAATGCACTGGAGTACTAAACTACCCCCCACCTTTGAAGATATGTTCCTTTGCTTGCCAACAAAATAACAAAGAACGAATAAATGCACGCGTTGAGTTTCTCCACATGTAGTGACCTGTGTTTTCTCTCCCTGGGTTTGGATTTATCTTTCCCATGCACCACAGCTGCCTCCGCCTCACATGGCTCCGATCAATGCGGCAATCGATGGGTGTGAGGCAGAAAGTGATCCAAGACACCAACGAGCAAATAAATGTTAATAGAACCTCACGATCCACTCGCAGAGACAAAACTCATGCACACGGCGTTACGGCGGTACAGCTGATGGATTACGATCTTTCTGGAGGTTGTGAAGGTGTAGCCGTGCATGTGACTGTTGGTGCGCGGGGCTCTCAGGAAGAGGAAACGCCAAGGGATTATAAAGAATCCATTATCTGCTTTATCACAGTCTCCCCTCATCACCTTTAAAAGCAGCACTTTCCCCTCTGACTTGCTACTACTTTGGTAATGATGCTTCTCCTCGAAGAAAACAAATGTCTTCAAACAGGAGGAACTACAGTTTCCATTATGCTGCCACTGATAAGAGTAGGTAACAAGCACATATCCGCCACGGGGCGCAGGGGAAATTTAAGTAAAACTAGAAAGAAAAAAAAAATACATCAAGATTTGAGAGGGTGCAAGTGTAGTTTAATCCAAAATCATGAGCTACGTAGAAATTAATTTAGAGACATTCTTTGAGAAGCTTAGAGGCACAAGGTGAGAATTTAAAATTTCAGTTTTTGCTTATCTTCAAAGTTGTGAACTCCCATTTTGGTCAGTTTGATCATGCGAAGGGTTTTAAGGTTGGAAATGTGTCCGGGTCGCTGAGAAATCCTTTGAACTCATTGTTTGTACACAAGGCCAGGCTGACCTTGTGTTCTTGATCAAGGATAGACTTGAGTTTCAACCTTTGCAGAAACGACATCAGTGATGTATAAAATGGACACAAAGGCAGATTTTTGGACATTTTGGTTTGCTATTGTATGTCTTTTGTTGGTGTTTCTAGAGTATTTTTGGGAATTGAATAAATGACAAGGGGTTAATGCCAAAAGGGCAATTACACCATTTATTGTGTAAAAGATAAAGCAAGGCCAGTTCAATACCATTTGTTCTTTGGAACACTTTTGATGGATACTGACCAGTAAAGTAAATGGAAAGTCCAGTTGTTTAACCATCACAACTGGTCAGACTCTCAAATTCTTATAGTTATCCGTTTTTTTTTTTTTTTTCTTTTTGCTACTAATAGAGAACTGGTAACATTAGTAATGTTATCTCAACTTGCTGCCTTGTATATCCCAGCCTCCCAACAGATGCCATGATATATAGATAGTCAGTATTATTGATTTTCCAGGTGTTGGTCATTATGGTACGTCGGTTTGGGGTAAATAAATGCTTTTATGAACTTTACCGGTTGCTGGATGGAAACCCTTGAGCTGGATTCACATCAAAATCTTTTGGTCAGGTTTGGTATTTGGGATATAATCCATCTTCCACGTCAGCCCCAGATCCGACTGTAATGAGCAGCATTGCCCGCTTGTAGTTTTATTGTTACTTTTGCTATAGGACAAGTTGTAGTTGTTGCTGGTTAAATGGAGCCAAAGTTTGGAAGGAAATTTGATTCCACAAAATGCGACCACAAGCTTTAGCTTGCAGATTTCGCACAGGCAATGGTAGGATTTGTATACAAAGGTCTTGGAGGGGGAAAAAAATAAAAATCTGCTGTCCAATCTTTTTTTGGAGTGTTCTCATATCAAGGGCAGTTGTAGTTTGTGGTCCAGAGCAAAGAAAACCCCTCCAGCTTCACTGTGCATTGGGCAAAGTGCTCAAATATTCATCTGACTTGGCTTTGCCAGCCCGCTGAACAAGACCTCAGTTTCTCCGTCAGGTCAAAATGAGGCGAAGATGTTTTTCATGTTCCTCCTTCCATCTTTTGAGGATGTTTGCTCACACGTTCTCTCGTTCATATTTAATGGCCGTTCGGTAAACACAAGTGCTTCTTTTATACTTTGCTACATCCAGAAACCACTGCGACGTTGGTGTCAAACGTGTTAAACCATTCAGCGTGCGGTTGGCGCCAACTTCTCCCTTCGGGGGTTGCAAGAATTTAAACTTTAAAATTTTGCTTTGAGGCAAACACACAATGGGGGGAGTGATGCCCTGACTTCTTGATCCGTTGAGAGCAGAGAGATGTTTACAAAGTCAGTTACTTTCCAACAAATTTAATGGGAGTATTAGATTTGGAAAAGTTACATGCGCCCATTTAAACCCCAGGGCAGGTTTTCAAGCCATTTCCCCCCAACAAAAGCTCCCTCTAACTCTGTTTTCTCCACTTATTTAGTTATGTTAGATCTAATAAAGCACATTGACTGGCTCCTGATGCAATGCCTGCTCCATGCGAGCCGCAGCCATTTCTTGCAGCCTATGTTCCGTCTCCTTGCAAATAAAACTTATCCTTATTTTTTTTTTTTGCTTTTGGCCTTAATGAAAGATTCACATTATTCTGTCAGATAATATAGTGATTTTTTCTTTTCTTTTGCTCTTTCTGGCATGTTCTGTAGGTATATTTTTGGTATTAGTATTAGGCATCATTTGATACGTCAAGGCTTTTGCGCGCATTGCTTGGTTATTGCAGTTCCTTCTGCTTTCAACTCCTTAATCAAATCTGTGCAATTTGTGTGTGTGTGTGTGTTCAAAATCAGTTTTATATTTATTTTATGATATACAGCCAGTGTGAAATTGCGTGTGTAAAAATGAGAGTAAGGTAAGATCAGGTTAACGGGTTATAGTCAGTTTCAAAACTAACATTTTCCGTGACGCCACTTCTCGCAGTTGGTTAAAGTCCTTTCAATCCGATTCTGGGGAATATTGGTGATCGCTTTTCTCCAGCGGTTTGGAGTGGCTAAAAAGCAGCTTAACTTTTCCTCTGCTTATAAGAACAACAGATTATCCTCAGATAGGTACATCTTAAATGGAAAACCACAAATATTTTAACTTTTTTTTTCCATGATGTGGCAAACGCATACTATGACCCAAAAACCTGAGGCGCATAAACCAGAATAAAAGTACTGTATTTCATTTTATTTATTTTTTTTAAACATAAGATATTCTTGAAACTAAGTGATCAGGTGACGAGCATTTTTTTTCAATAAATTTGATTATTTTTTTTAGATTTTTGTTCTGAGTTGTATCATAAATATGATACCTTGAAATTGGTTTTCCTCAGTGACATGAGAATTTCATGTCAACACCAGTTTTCCAAAACTTTTTTTTTTTTATCATTTTTTGCTCCTCATATTTGCAACTCCCTTCCCGTCTTCCATCGTTGTAAAACACCTTTATTGTTTTTCTTTCCTTCTTTATCTGACATTTTTTTGTTTGTTTTTTTCTACCAAAAATATAATTAGAGAGGCTTTTAAACATGCTTTGAGACTCTGCACTGGCAAGAAGATAGCCAAAATGTGCCAGGCTAATGATGCCAGCCATTTGTCTATGATCTCTCTTTGGGCTCAAGAAAGAATTTGTTGAGCTTACTTTCTTTGCATTTTCCTTGCCAGCAGATTATGTTCAGCTTGCATATGCCAAAAATAAAAAAAAGTGCTTTTGAGTCTTTTAGTTTTCCCTTTGCAATTTCAAAGCTTTAAGAGTTTTTAATCGCCTAATTATTTCCACGTGAGATATGCGATGTAGGAAAGG